ACATACACATAGCCAATAAAGTCTGCGTTCACCCGACACATTTTTTTAAGTGACGTAAAAACACAATGTAAATAGGTAATTCAGTTCAAATTTTTTACATGTATTTCTTCTTTATATTCTTAAGTTCAAAATGCAAAAACAAAAATGTATATTCCTATTTTAATTTTCGAGTAACGGGATTTTGGTGTAATAACACGTAAATATAGGCACCAGAAAGTCTTCGTTCAGTTAGCTTAAATTGGAAACTCCGTTACTTCTCATGAATTTGTTCCTTCTTTTTGCGTAGATTCTATTGTGTTTTATATAGTAAGTCGTTTAAAGAGCTCGTGACGCGTGTTAATAATATTAAAAAAAAAATGGAAAACAAAGGCAATGAAATTAGTCAGTCGGAAAGAAAGATTATCATTAAGTTGTGGAAAGATAGCGCAAGTTTCAGATAAATTGGGCATACTATTGGAAGAACGTATTCTTTTGTCCGGCGCGTCGTAAACAATTAAAAAAAAAACCGGAATTTTAACGTCAAAACCGCGATCTGGCCGGCCAAAGTCTAACGATTTCCGCAGTATGCTTCGGGTCATTATCTTGTTGGAACCAAAACGTCGAAGATAAGCCAAGATTCTTTGCACTTTGTTTCAAATTGTTTTTTAAAATGTTCAAATATCACTTATCCTTTGTGCATTCAATAAATTCAAGCTGACCCACACCACCAGCGGCAATGCAACCCCACACCATAATTCCGCCACCTCAGTATTTAACTGTACCAACAAGATTTCTTTCCGACAGACTAATTATTTTTCCTTTGATTTCCATTTTTTTAAATATTATTAGTTTTTCTGAAACTTTCGCCATTTTCCCACAACTTAATGATAATTTTTCTTTCCGACAGACTAATTTCGTTTCCTTTAGTTTACATTTTTTTAAATATTATTAAAACACGTCACGAGCTCTTGAAACGACTAATTTTATTAAAACACAATAGAATCGACGCAAAAAGAATGAACAAATTCATGAGAAGTAACGGTATTTCCAATTCAAGCTAACTGAACGCAGACTTAATGGTGCCTATGTTTACTTGTTTTTACACTCAAATCCCGTTTTCACAAAAATGAAAATAGGAATATACATTTCTGCTTTTGCATTTTGAACTAAAGAATTTGAAGAATATACAGAAGAAATACATGCAAAAAATTTTAACTGATTTACATTGTGTTTTTACTTCACTTAAAAAAATTTGTAGGGTGAACGCAGACTTTATTGACTATGTGTATGTATATAGTGCTCTAACGACCCCAACAGTTTTTGTTATGTGAGTGAATTTTTATCAGGGGTGTTGTGGAATCTGATAGTTGTTTGAATCAGAATTGAAACCGATAAAAAAAAATGTAGTAGGTGTCATGAATTCAGATATTAGTGGTTTGACGTTCGAAACAGAAATTGTTTCGGTTTTGGGTGTCACGGAAACCAATTTTATCGGTTTTGTTATCAGAAACAAAGCAAGAGGATTTTTGCTGACAGATTTCAAATGTAAATTAAGAAAATAATTTATATTATTCTTACGATTTAATTTATCGTTATTTCTATAGGGGAAACATAAGAATAAAAGAAAAAATGTCATAATTATCGAGTTTATGGAAAATAGCAAGATATTTTAAGAGAATTTATAAAACGTAACAAACATAATTTAACACCCAAATGCGTCTTTATTCAGTCGATAATGTGATATAAATCAGTAAAGTAAGCATGTATACAAACATACAAGTAAATACAAGCCAAATCTCACATGCGACTCCCATGGTGCATCAAGTGGATTACTGTGATCTTTTAATATATTCCTTTTATTTTTTTCGTTGCTTTTTTACTTCAAATAAAATAAAAGCTAAAATAGCGGAACTCATTGTAAACTTTAGTAGACTTCATTCAGCATTTCAAATTTATAAAACGCTTCCTAATTTATTCATTTGCAAATTTTGTCACATAGTAAACAGCTGACTCGAATATTGGTTTTGCATATGTTCGAAAAGACGAAAATCCAATCAGATTCTGTGACACCATTGAAAAACAGAATTGGTTTGCAATTCTGACAGCTAAGCAAATCTGTTTTGATTTCCACAACACCCCTGTATATTTTAAATCTCAGCGTCGTAATTTCACGTCATACATTAAACAGTACTATTTAAACTATTTTGTATTTCCTGTGAGAAATCAAGATAAAACTTGGGTTCCACATAAATGTTGTGTAACGTGTGTTAGGTGGCTAATAGCCATTTTCTATACCAATGATTTATATTGAGCCAAAGAATTATGTGATCGTTATTTTTGTTTGACAAAGAAGGCATTTCAACTCTGCCCAGTATTTAAACTTGTTTTCGGCCAACAGATCCATCCTGCATAGTGCCGAACTGCCAGTGCCAGATAATCAAGATTCTACTCCGGAACTTGTTCTAAGTCAGGACGATTAAGAAGAATTAAAGAATATTTGTAAGTCCACAAATACGGTAACTGATAAAGGATAAGAGTTTTGAAGAAAAAATGAATCATCAAGAAAAACTCGCCTGGAAATGTTTAGTGAACGCTGTCCAAAATTTTCTAGGAAACCATAATAGGTAATGGGTGCGTTCGAGATGGCAATCACGACAGCAGTGTTGCAAATTTGTCAAAGTATCACGTTCGTTTTTGGCAACACTTGCAACAGCATCACGTTCTGCTGGCATTTTTTGCACGCAATTTATGCAAATAATCGGCAACACTAAATTTTTGTCTGCACATCAGCAGAGTATCAGCAAATATGCAACACAGTCGCTATACTGCTGCAATTATTTCGTAGCTCGAACGCACCCTATATCTGGTGTCGTGAGTGACGAACAAGGCGAGAGGTTCCATCAAGACATTGGTGAAGCGCTATCAAGGGAAATGGAGCGCAGGAATACTGCCAAATTATTGTTGGGTCTATATTCAGCAGTAATTTCTCTGAATGTAGCTGATGTTTGAATGGAATTTTTGTGCACAGCATTACCAATCAAATTTCATCAAAAACTATAGAAAACAACACAATTCAGTAGACATTATTTACCATAATTAAAGAATTTATATATTATATGTATATATATAAAATTATTTAAATACTTTTAAGGTTTTATTTTTTTGCTTGCCTAGTTGAAGCATATGTCACTTAATACTATTTTTTGCAAATGTGCTATACTATTAGCTTATATTTATATATTATAAATCTATGTGCATTTCAAAATATTCTATTAACTACATTTACAGATGTACATAATGAGAAATTTGATTTAGAAACATGTATGTATTTTATTTATGCAGTAAACTAAGTTTTGTTATATTTATTTAAGTCCTTATATGCGTTAGTATCTGCTGCTAATAAAAAACATAAATCGACAATAAATGCTTAAAAATTTATAGTTATATGCATATTTATATATGTATATAGAAACTATGTTATTTGTGTATTATTACATGCGACAAAAACAAAGTGAGAATCCTTAATTAATCAGTTCAAATCTTATTAATTTTGTTTTATTATTGTTCTTGCCTTTATTACAAGCCCACATATCTAGTTTTATATGCACATGACAACTGAAATAGCTGGTCTTCACTTGAGTAGTTTTAATGTAAAATAGTTATGAATGGAATTGAAAATGATTAGCACCAAATTATGCTCATCCAGATAAAAATTGATTCACCAGTATTTTAGCTGTTAAACGATAAACTAACTACGCGCGCAAGTTCATCTAACTACAATACATACATTATACAATATGATGTGATATCCTTCTTAATGCTATTCTAAGGGTGTCATATGATTTGAGATTAACAATATAATGCTATTTATGAATATATTATAAACGTTTCTTTTAAGTTAAACGTATTAAGTATATTCTGTATTTGCTATTACTCGTTTCATGTGTTTATAAACGTATTGTGAAGGTGATTTGAGCATCTCAAAGAGCTAAAAAGTCATTACATGTATTGTTTTTTCGAGAATTGTTGTTTAGCAATGAAATGATTGAGTTTTTAGGTATGTCTACAAATATTTCTTTTTATTTTTTTGCTTCTTAGTAAACGAAAAGTTTTATTTAGATAAATCTTCTCAATGTCAACTATCAACTGGTCACATTTTTTTTGTGAATCTATCCATTCTTTTTGCATTTGTTTATGTTGTTAGTACCTTCGTTGCGAACCTCTCCAAGACTGATGAATCTAATAAGCAATATAACGCAAAGTTCAAAATGACAAAACAGCACAGAATTCTTTACCATTCAAAAATTAGCTTTCGTGAGTGTCAATAAATTGATATCTTAGGCATTTCCTTTCAATCACTTAGCTAGTTTTGCAAAAATTACATTTTGCGTGTGTATATTGTTTATGGAAACAAATACATAATTGACACCCAATCTAATATATTGCCAAACTCCTAACATAATTTATATGTATATATAATGTAATCCTTATTTTAGTACAATTCTTGTAATCGATTCTCCGAGAAACGATTTTTGTTTTATATTTTGATTGGCAAACAAACTATATACACAATTAATCATTTGGTTTGTATTTTCAATAAATATACATTTTTGATTTATGTAAATCGGTTTTCGAAAATCGTAATCAAATGTAAATATTATTGAATACAGGTTTATTTAAAATACTTCGGATACTAAATTATGCAAATTTAGGAAATTTGGTGAGGGAAGTTTTTCGTTAACAGCTATGGATATAATAAGATATTGTTATAAATATAAGTGTTAAGTAATGAAAATTTAGAAGAAATGTGCATTTATAATTGCACAATAATCAAATAATATATATTAATAATTAGCTACCTTGAGATTTTCATAGTCCCGTAGTCATTTTTATAAGTAGGTATCACAAAAGCGTTTTGTCACTGTGAATGATATTATAACAAAACTTCAAAAATAATAATGAGGTTAAGTGTACGAGAATGATCATTGCGCAGGCAATATATCTACAATAAAACAATGATGAAACTTTTTTCAATAAAAGCCGGCTCTATTGTGTATCAAAGATATATTGGGATAAAGAAAGTACTCACAGCTATCAAATCATTATTGCTTAAATATTAATTTAAAAAAATTGCCTTTTGGGCTTTAACCATAATGTTCCTCGTTAGGTATGCAGCAACAGGTAATAGCGAATGCGACGGTCTTAATTTCGTACTGATGCATTATGTATGCCTACGCCCTGTGCATTGTTCATGTCGTCAATAGCGCGAAAGCGTACAAATCCGTGTTCAGCAACAAGCATTGCCGAGCCCTTACTTCGATTACTGGAGTTTTCTGAGGCAGTCGACGATGTGATGGATGTATTAGAAGTGCCGGAGTTATGTGCACCAGACTCAGTTGAACCCAAATTAGAATTTGCAGTGGATAGTGAGGCTTCCTGTCTTTTCTGTTGCTTTGTGGTGTTTACTGGAGCAGGAAGTTGTTTCTGATGGTTGTGATAACTTGCTTGCAACAGTAATGAGTTGGAATGTGTGTTATTTTTTAAATTACTTTGGGCGAACGAGAGGTTACTTGCTTTACTATTTCCAACGTAAGTATCGTTCATTTTGCTATGGCCACCGCAAAAGGATGTTGTGCTGTTACTATTTGTAATACAAGAACCATCTTCATTATCGATTAAATTAGTGCGCTCTACATTACTACCTGGTAACATCATATCATCATCAGAATTTTGATGTGGGTGTTGCGGGTGTGTGCTGCTACGATCTAGAGACGAGCGACTAAATAGGTATTCGTGTTCGCGATCTTGATTACGATCACGTGCCATACCTGCAATATTGCCCCGACCACTGCGCTGTTGAAGATGTTTTTCAGATGACAGCGCTATCGTTTGTGTACCAGATGCACGCTGAGCTGATATATTCGAAGACGCAGCTGATGAAGAGGATGAATTTCGTCCATGCATAATACCTATCCCAGACATATGACCACCCCCATTCCCAGTACCAACAATGTTATTCAGCGTACCACTTTTGCGAACACCGTTGTATAAGCCACGATCAAAGGAGTTGTAACCACCATAGCGGCTAGAGGCACAAGAATGGGTGGAGTTTGAACTACGCCGCTCAGGATTTTCATAAGCATCACGATCTAAAGTAGTATGCATTTTCTTTTCACGTTTACTTTTATGATTATCGACAATACGTGACACTGGTTGACCTCTGTGGGGATCGGACCAACAATCTGAAGATGGTTCAGCACCGGATGTTCCCAAATGTGGTCTTTCGAAATTATTGAAATCGTAACTGGATGTATGAGTAGGCTGTAAAGGTTCTGAATAGCAACTATCACTCTGCAAAAGCAACATTTGCTGCTGTGAGGTTGCGGACGAGCCTGAGCCTCCACTACTACTAGCTGTTGTGGAAGTGGTTGAAGTTTTCGTAAATTTTTGTACTCCAGTAGGGTTGGCTGCAGATGCTCCAAATCCTGAACCGCTTACAGAACCATGCAAATCAAAGTTTGGGTTTTCATAATGATCAGTAATGGCATCTGTCAAATAATCAGTATACTGAGGCACCTCATGGCTATAGCGCCCACATTTACCACCACCTCCGCCTGCTAATGTACTCTGCGTTCCATATTCACTTGTATTCTGGTTCGCCATTGCGCTGTTAATAGACCCCGAATCATATGGTCTCTGATATGTTGGTTGCGTCTGTAACTGAAATTCACTTGTATTTCGATTCCCAGCTGGAATTGCACTATTACCAACACCGTTTAACTGTGATTGCCCATTCCCAGACAAAGAGTTTAAAGCAAAGCTATCGTCATATATAAGTTTGCCTGTACGCATTGTATAAGTATGAAGATTTGTATTTGCGTTACAAACTGCTGGGTAGTCGGTATCTATCTGCTCCTGGCTCGAGCTGGATGTGCATGGCAGAAAGAAACCCGCCACATTTGAATGATTGTGATGAAAGTGATGGTGAGCATGTTTTTCGCGATTATGATTAGCTGTTCCACTTCCAAAAACGACATTACCACCACCATTTTCTCCCGCCACTCCATAGCGAGCATCCCCGTTAGCTGCTGCATTAATGCCTACACCGACCCCACTGCTGCCGCCACTAGTTTTCAAACCGGCGACCCAAGAAAGTAAAGTTATTATAGCAATTTCAATTAATCGCAAAGAGAACTGATAACCCCACTGTAACCAATCGATCTCAGCTGTTAACTGTTGTATCAGTGGTCGAGTTGTAGATATACTGATGGCGCCAAATATTTGTAAGGCAGCCAACAAAACAAATAACAAAGCTGTCGCTATGGTGATATGTATAGCATAAGAGAGATTCTGATAACCATGTATATAATTTTGAGATTTACTACGTAGTATTCGCTTCAAAATACGATACAAATATAGGTACAATAGACCAAGAAATAGACAAACAAATATGTATATGATCTGACATATAAGTGATAGAACTCTTGGCGGTGGTGTGTTGCTTATCACATTGGAAGGCGGTGCTGCCGCGGCTGATTGAAGAAAAAAAGCCGAACGGGTATTAAACCCAGCTTCGGATACCCACAAATTTGTTGAAGCTGCCGAAATAAATTGTTGCTGCTGAGGCTGATGATGGTGTTGATGCAGAAGTTGTTGCTGTCGACGATAATGTAGCTGTTGTTGCTGTTGTTGATATAATAAATGTTGTTGCTGTTGGTTCTGCAGAGTGTATGATTCTACATAATGTAGTGTAATGCAGAGCAACACATGTACTCCACAACCAACCACAACCGTTAGCGGTCGTATGAGAGCAGAATAACGATTATTTTTATGGTTCAAAGCTTTCAAAAAGAGATACAAGATCAGAACTGAAAATGAAATAGTCAATAACGTGGCAGGCAAATTTAGCAACAATTCAGAAATAAACAAGTTGAACGTAGCATGAATATTATAAGCATCATAGCACAGATAGAAAATACGAGCAGAACAAATCACAATCAAAACCAAATTGATGCACATAAAATACGATTGTGAAAAAAGATGCGTCAACTTATTGTAAGTAAGCACTTTGTATAAGGAGTAAACTGCCAAAATGGTGAATAGTACAACGGAGAAATATACATGGATATTCCATGCGAACGCCCACGTGGAGTGTGACGAGGCAGCAGCAGCTGTCGACGTGGACGTTGCAGATGATCCCGGATCACTGGCAATATTACTGCTCCCAATTGTTGCTGACAACGTCAGATTCTTTCCAACCGTCCCGCTAATTATCGTCGATGTTGTAGAAGTTGCAGCTGCAATATTTACACCCAGTTGTCCACCAATTGCTGCAGCTGTTGACGGGGAGGAGGTGCTACTGTTTCTACTGCCATTACCATATAGTTGCTCATTGAACGTGTTGGTCTTGAAAAAATAGTTATGCTCGCTAGATTCCACTCTTGTCGCATCATATATCTCCGTGCCGCTGTTTAATGTTGAACTGTTCTTGCTTTTGTTGATGTTTGAGCTACTCGATATTCCACTTTCTTCAACACTATCAATTTGTTGTGCTACATAACTGCCATCCAAAAGTACAACCGGTGAGGATGGCGGTTGATTGTAGTTAACAACCGGGCGAGATGTAGCTTGTTTTAACAGTACTTCTGGTATATCACCTTTACCATTAGAACCACTTAAAATTCGTCGTATACTTGGCAAAACTTCTTGACGGCTACCGTGTTGTCGCTCGGAATTATTACTTTGCACTGGCAACTCATGTGAATTAGAACTATCATAAAAGTTTTTGCTGGTATCACTTGTCATTGAATGTATAACACCGCCAACATTAATATTGTCAACATTTGCATTACCATAAACAGCGTTGCTACGAGATGGCGTATTCAGTGCTTTCTTACGATCTACATCCGCTTTCGTGTCAAGAGGTATGTTAGTACCACTACTATTACTTGTTTGCACAAGGGCCACCGATATGTCCGGGGAATTGTTTCCAGTAGATGCCGCTAAATCAGGCGGACGAAATGGTATACGTTCATGACCAGGCATTAAACTTGGGGGTGGTATAGGGCGCCTATTTATATACGTCCCTGTGTTAGGTATAATTCCTTCGTTATTAGTACCACGTAGTGTTGGTTTATCAGCAAAAGGATTTTGATATTCTGGTGGCAATGGCGGAGTAAAAAATGAACGTGCTGGGGGAGAATATGACGGCATATCGCCTGGATATATTGGTATGGAGGGTAACTGACCATTATTTTTCTTTGGGATGTTCGGTACTGTAATTAAAATAATAAGAATATAATATATAAGTTAGAGTGTTAGATAAAACACAACAAAGAAGTGTTAGAGATAATTACTTGAAGGCGAAGGAGTAGAGTTCATCATATGTCTATGGCGCTCACGTTCATGGTTGTGATGTCTATTCGGATTAGGATAAGTTGGATTACTGTTACTTTTTAATATGTCTGCATTAGGCGCCGAAGTCGGCAATGCATGGTCACGTTCCAAATCCAACTCATAGTTTCTATGATGATGATTAATTTGCTGTTGCTGCGACGACTTTTCGGCATACCTGCAATATATTATAGTTTAGTAAACCAGAGATGCGAATGTTTTTTTTTTGTAATTATTAGATCAAAAATTAGATTTTCAACATCTAGAATCAAAAATATATTCCTATTTTTAATTCCAATGTTGGGATCAAAAATCAACAATCCAGGATGTTTAAGATTACAAATTTATAATTTTATTTTTCAATTTAATAATTCTAAAATAAATGCTATTCCTTATTGGACTCATATTTTTTTATATCTTTAAATTCAGTATTTGGTATTAAAGAATTTAAAATAAATTTCATAATCATGAAATAATTAATTTTTAATCCGGTTATTTTTTATTTATTATTTGCCTGCAGTAAACATGCAACCAAGTCAATTTTTCGCTTTATTTATTAACTTTTTATCAAGAAAAATTCGCTTTATATAATGGTTGAGACACTGTAGGTAGAAACTTACCGTAAAGTTGTCAACAATGGTGTGGCAATCGTTGTTAAACTTGGTATGTAACTATTGTCTGGAATGCTGCGCTTTGTAGTTGACGTCGTACCGTAGGCAACTTTTTTTAACACTGCAGCAACACTCCTTTCCAAATTATTCATTTTCATTTTATCCATGTAACCACTGGATCCCGATGCCGAACTACCACCAATAACTCCTCCAACGGCTAATCCAGGCTTTGCTACAATCCGATTACTGCTTTCGCTAGAAATGCTAGTGTTCATGTATGGATTATTATTGGTACTATCAGCTACGTAATCGTCATCAGTAGGGTTCAAATATTTCGATTCAACTAATAATAGAGCATGCGTCCAACGGACTTGTGACAATGATAATAATATCAACAGTATATAATGAATCGTATTGGTACTCATTTGGCTGGTAAGTATTCCATTCGCACCTGCTACACCAGTTCGTATTTTTCTTGAATTTTTACTGTTAATTTCGCTTATTTTATCTCTGAAGCATTTGGCTTTTCCAGAAACTAACGAAACACGACAGATTTGATGAAAACCACCTGAAGACACGCCATTGGCACAATTGTGTTTGTTTGCATTGACATTTTCGTCAAATGCATGCAAGCTATTGATACTGCAATTATAATCACATCTACAATTTGTGCTTATTGTTTCATTATATACTGATGTACATTTATTCGAGAATTTTAATCTTTCAAAATCTGCCAAAAATAGTCTCGATTTGATAATGCAACTGTCATCATGTTGTCCCTGCTCAACAATACCGGAATAAATATCAGCTTCTGTACGTTGTAGACTGCAACGTGGATTTTGTGTTACATGTGAGCTGTTGGCAGCAATTTGTGGTTTAATTGATTCCTGCAATGTCCCATTAACTAGATGACTCTTGGAAAATTTTGATCGAGTTATGAGCAAGGAAGAGTCAACCTGAAGCCTTGATTTATCACAGCACAAATTGCAATGTTTATAAACTTCCCTTTCGTTTTTATTGTAGCGAGCATAGCTGCCTTCGATCTCTCGTCGTCCACTACAACGTTCAGTAGCGCTCACAATATCTACTTTAGACACTGAACTTATTTCCCCATTTAATCCAAGATCCATAGTCGTATGTTCGCAGGTTGACTTAAACACATTCGCAGTTGAAGATAATATCATTACTTTCGTCATAGCAGTTACTCTACGTAAGCAGCATATATTTTCAGTACTAATATTAATTTCTTATTTGATGATAATGTATCTGAAAATGTTTGTCACGTGACATCCACGTAAATATTTTTATAAAGCTAACTCATGCGTTTATTATGTGACGTAACCGCTTGATCAAACAACTTTTGCTGGAATTATAGCTCGTGTTCCTAATTGCCTTAAATCCTGAGTAGAGTTGCCGGCCAGGTAATGAAATCCGAATAACAATAGGTTTGATGTTATAATGTTCGGTTTACTTTTGGTGACTTTAATATACATTCTTTCAGCTAGTGTAATCTGCGAAAAAGGTGGTAATTTTCATTTAATTGTTTGCTTCTATATGTCATGGAATTTTTTTTTATTATTTATTGATCATGTAACGCATAGCTATAGTCAAAATACCTTTTTTCAAGTATTTTCTTTATTTTTATACTTTTGCAAAATTTTGTCAAAATTGGAATAGAGTTACACTTCTGCTCACACAATTGTAAAAATACATAAAAGTTGAACTTTCATTGATAAATCGAAAAAAAATCCCACAAAATTAAAAGAATTGACTTTAAATTTATTGTATTCATAGTTTTTTAAAGCTGAATTTTAATGTAAAAGCAAAAATCTACTTTCTTCGTCATTGGTATGAATTTTCGAGCACCCCCATACCATGACTGAAGATCCACCACGTTTCACACTTTTTTTTCGATATCGTGGGTTTAATTTTTGTAGTGGTGGTCGCCTGACAGAGGGTCACCATTCTTAAATACATTAAGCTTGGATTTATCACACCAAACCAATAGATCCTATAATTTTGTGTCCTTTACTGGTGTTCTCTCGCAATCGCTAGTCTTCGTTTGATGTCCTTCTTTGATACGCTCGGCTTGCGTCATACAATTCGCTCATTTAGGGAGTTTTTTTGCAATCTACGGGCAGACTATATATGCTGACTCATGTATCATACACCTTGTTCATAAGGAGATAATTTCATTTCACGTCAAAGGATCCACCATGCTCATCCCTACTATTTGTCTATCGTCGTTAAATGTTGTATTTCTCGGTTTTTTGCGGGGAATATTTTTAATGGTCTTATATTTCCCACAATATTGCAAAGCATTCTTAATCCTTCCCCAAGAAAAAGTCGAATATTCCGTTACTTCGCAATATTTTTGTACTATTGGTAACAGTCCCATATGGTTTTTCGTTCTCATGGAGCTGAGCTCTTATTTTTGGCCAGCCTTTAGAAAACTTAAAAAAAACGTATTTAAATTAGTGAAAATAATACACTTTTTGCTTTCTTAATTTTTTTTTTTGATGTGGATCGTTGCAATAACAACATTGGTTATACTAGAGCGTTCAGTTACTAGAGTTACCTAATTATGAGAGCACACGGGACTAGACAAACTGCAAAACAATTTCAATTTTTTCGCCAACCACATTACTTATTTCTCTGAATATGTTCAAAGCAATTTCGACACCAATAACTGACCTTTTTTCTTTCATATTATATAAAAGCAAAACTACTTTGAGCGCAAATATATTTACATGCATATAGCTTACGCTGACTAGAGTGAGCACTTATGCATTAAGACTGTGTTAGGTCTTTTCTTGATATTGAGGGTTTTATAAACATATGGCCGGAGGCAGTTAACAGAGCTCTAGATAGGTTTGGGTTTGAGAAAACCTAAAAGGCACGATTACAATTTCTTTGGCGTCGCGCTCTGATTGCATGAACGCATAGAGGATATTTTCAGCACTAAAAAATGTATACAAATATACTCGCCTCAGACTCACAGTTTTCGAGATATTAATATTTAAAGTTCACAAATTGTAAAAGTAATTCACGCTATTTCGCTATGTTTAACACACACAGATTCCACTAGAGCTTTACATACTGAATTCGGTATTTAATACCACGCCTCTTGGACTTTTTCCTATAGTTCCTTTTTATTTCGTGGGTTTATGGGTCCTAACTTTTCCTTTACAACCTTCCACAGGTTTTCTATTCGATTCCTTGATCCTATAACCAATCATGACCATTACCATCTGTTGCATCGCCAAACTAAAGGCATGTTCTATTCAGCATTAGGAAGCATTACATCTTCTAAAACTCTAAGGTAGTGATAACGGTCCATGACTTCCCCAATCGAAAACAGCTTGGATCGTTTTCATTTCAATCTTTTATTAACATAGAGGACTTGGCGAGAGAGATTTTCTAAAAAGCGACGCGCAACAGGACAGAAAATTTATACACACAACTCTCTTTGGATAGCTACAGAGGACTTGAAATGTTCGCGTTTTGATAAAATCTCTATGTAAATATTGTAATTGGCATCCTGAGACGTCGTTTTTTGTGGCAGTCCCCTCAATTCGCATTTTTTTTAGAGGTTTCACATGTATGCATATGTTCGATTTTTTGTCAAATAATCGTCATTTGCGGGATGTGTTGATTTTCTTTTTTCAGTCAAAGAAATCGGCGACTGAAGCCCGTCGGGAACTCCAAAAAGCTGTAGGAGATGCTGGCAGCACGACTAAAGCAGAAGTTCACCTTGTACACATTTAGTTCAAAACAATATGTAAAAGTTTTGCCAAAATTGCCGAAATTTGTAACACCCATGTCCGTCTGTCTGTATATATACAAACTAATCTCTCAGTTTTTAAGCTATCGATCTGATTTTGCACCTGTCCTTTTCTCACAAAGAAGCTGCTTATTTGTCGGAACGGTCGATATCGGATGACTATAGCATATAGCTTCCATACAAACTGAACAATCGGAATGAAGTGCTTGTGTGTAAAACTCTTTCATTTGTCGAGGTATCTTCTCAAAACTTGGCATGGATTATTATTTAAGGCAATAATCTAACCTCCAAAGAAATTATTCAGATCGGATGACTATAGCATATAACTGCCGTACAAACTGAACAATCGGAATGAAGTGCTTGTATGGAAAACTCTTTCATTTGACGAGGTATCTTCACGAAATTAGGCACGAGTTATCGTTCAAGGCAACAAATTAATATCCCCAGAAATTGGTCAGATCAGATCACTATATCATATAGCTTCCATACAAATTGAACGTTCGGAATCAAGTTCTTGTAAGGGGCCTTTGTATTTGTGAAGGGTATTATAGCTTCGGTGCAACCGAAGTTAACGTTTTTTCTTGTTTTTTAAGAATATAATAGGATTATATGTTCAAAACAAAAATGTATTAAGCTTAACCTCTATTTGTTACAAATAAAATTTTGATATACAAAAATTTCGCTTAATACGTTTATTTGCTGCGGCTGCGACAAAACTAAAGCACTAAACTATATTTACTTATTTATCGACCTTTATTTCAACAAGTCCCGTTAAAATTCTTTCTGTAGTTAAAAACCGTTATTGAAAGAGCGTGTTGAAGTAATTTTAATACAATTAGATTAGTCATTTGTAATCAACCGATGGTGTTGCTTCGTAATAAAAAAAAAAACATTTGTGAAATGGCGCGTAATAAGTATTCAGCACTATTTAGGGAAAAAATTATTAGCAATTTCGAAAACGATGAATCAGTAAATAATATTTTAAAAAAGTACACAATTAATCACAGCATTGTCTCAAGAATTATAAGTCGTTTTCGTTCTTCGGGCGTCCTAACCACAATTCATGGAGGTGGCAGACCACGTAAAACTACTTGCCGTGAGAATATGACCATAGTGCGCTCCATAAAAAATAACGCTTTAAATCAGCTAGATTCATCCCGAACGACTTAGGCTTGAATATTTCGTGCAGTCCCATCCAGCGACGATCTGTAGAAAATAACTTCATAGCATGCAGAAGTGCCAAAAAGCTATATATTTCGCACAAAAATCGGAAAGCTCGGCTTGAATTTGCAAAAGCTCAAGCTAACTGAAGTATTACAAAAAGTACGATTGTACTATTTTCTGATGAACCCAAGTACAATATTAAACTAACTGATGGATTAAAGCTGATATGAAGACCAAAATGTCAACAATTCTCACAACAGCTGGTTCTACGTTACCGGAATTGACACAGATTTTTATCCGGTCAAGGGCTATTATTTCGGCGATCTAACCCTGTTTGGATCGGTAAGTTTTAGTTTAGGGTTGTCGTCATTAGACCAACGACTAGCAGCAGGGTTGCTCCGTATCCTCCTGATCCGGCCGTCTCGCTAAAACCCGTACAGGTTCAACTGAGAGAGCTCCTGATTAGTGTCTGCCTGGCATTGAACACAATACGATCTCTCATAGGGACTTGTGTCAACCCTCGTGTGACCCACCGCAAGTGTAGACAACCATGGGTCCTTTGGCAGGACGACGGTAAAACGTGCGGCGATAGCGGCTTGAAACGGAGACCCAGTTGAATATGAACACACAAAATCAAAACAAAAACAAGTAAGGACGGGCTAAGTTCGGATGTAACCGAATATTTTATACTCTCGCAAAGTCAAATGTATACTCGTTTTAGATTTCTTTGTGGATCTTGCCGCCTTGATCTATGTTGACCGATATATTCGGTAAAGAGTCAACTATAGACACTGGGGTTGTTGTTGTTGTTGTAACGGTTACCTAGTCCCCGTTTGGGTGATAAATTCCAGATTCGTTGTCGTCGAGGTCATCTAACGGGTGGCCCAGGAAACGAGCTGTTTCGACGGGGTGGACCATAGGGAGAAGGGTGTTAGATGAGTGGGATTTGTTGGGCAAAGAGGTGGTTAGTGTCATGCGGAGACTCATTGCACGCAGGACATGTGTTTGGTATGTCTGGGTCTATTCTGGATAAGGAGTTTAACCTGCTACAGTATCCAGAACGAAGTTGCGCGAGGGTCACTCTGGTTTCGCGAGGCAATTCGAGCTCTATGTCTGCTATGGGTGGAGTCGGTGAAGGTGTTGGTGGCTCCACTGTGAATGGCGGTTTCTGCCTGTCTGAAGTTCGTTGCGTCCGAAGGCCGGTCGGCGTACTGTCTAATATCGTCGACGTAATCAAGGAAAGACCTCTTGATGTTCCTAGGAGGCGACTCCGTTACAAGCAGGCGACTACAGGGGTGGTTTCTACGAAAACACCCCAGCAGAAACTGCTTGGAGAGGAGTTCGTTGTGTTCCTTAACCGGAAGCATACGGGCCTCACTATGTAGGTGTTCGATTGGAGACATCAAGAGGCATTCCGTGATAGTTCGGAGTGCAGTGTTCTGACAGGTCTGAAGCTTCTTCTTCTGCGTGTCACTGCATCCAGGCGACGATATTGGGGCTGTATAATTTAGGACCGGCCTAAGATTTTAGGGTTATTAACCGTCGGAATTTTTGTGCCATCGACTGAAATGTTCAGGTTCAGTCTGTACTCCTTCGTCCAATTTGTGAATATGGTCGCTGAGGATTTAGTGGGCGAGAGTGCTAGGTTCCTTACAGAGAAGAAGCGAGAAAGATCGGAGAGGTAGCTGTTTACTTTTGAACACATGCCATCGACTCCATTGCCCGACGTCAATATCGTACAGTCATCAGCGTACGAGGTCACTGAAATTCCCGCTGGTGGCTGGGGGAGTTTCGAAATATAGAAATTAAACAGCAGTGGGGAGAGGACACCGCCCTGCGGAAACCACTGTTTAATTTTCCTAAGTTTGGAGTTTTGACCTCGAAACAGTATAGATGAATGCCGACCGCTCAGGTAGTTCATAGTCCACCCCTGGAGGGAGCGTTGATTGTTCTATGTCCTCAAGTAGCGTTGTGTGATTGACTGTGTTAAAAGCTTTTGACAAGTCCAACGCTACGAGGATTGTGCTCTCGCAGGGTGGCTTCTGGTTCAGGCCATGAACTATCTGGGAGTTTATGATGCTGTGGTGGTACCTAGCACTTTCCGGAAGCCATGCTGATGATCTGCTAGGCTCAGGTGGTGAGAGGATTACTCGCGTCATCAAGGCCTCAAGTGTCTTCACTACTGGAGAAAGGAGAGTTATCGGGCGATAAGATTCCCCTTTGTTGGCGGGTTTCCCAGGTTTCAGTAGTGGGACCACTCTTCCGACTTTCCACACATCGGGTATTTGAAGAGTGGATATCGAAAAGTTGAGGACCTTGGTGAGATAGTTTACTCCCGTTGGGCCTAGGTGTTTTAGCATCAGCATGCTTATTCCGTCAGGGCCAATGGATTTAGACGATTTCGCCTTTTTGATGACACTCTGAACCTCCCC